CTCTTTAATTTCATGGAAGAGAAACCTTCAAACCAGCTCAAATTAAAAGACCTGGGGCAGGGGCAGGCAGGACGGGGCTGGGGTGGGGAGATGCTAGGGCAGGGGCTGGGGCGGGGCTGGGGGGTGCTGGGGCGGGGGGCGGGGGCTGGGGCAGGGACTGGGGCAGAAAGATGCTGGGGCAGGGGCTGGGGCGGGGCTGGGGGAGCTTGGGCGGAACTGGGGGGGCTGGGGCGGGGCTGGGGGGTGCTGGGGCGGGGCTGGGGGGTGCTGGGGCGGGGCTGGGGGGCTGGGGCGGGTGCTGGTGGAAGGTGAGATACGGCCACCTCCTGGAAATGGAGCCTGGGCCCCTGAGGGGAGCTGGGGAGGGAGTATCTGCTCCCTCTCGCTGTCTGGTGGAGTTTCAGGTCTTGGTGCTTTTGCTGCGTGTCTACTGCTTCTGTCAGCTCGCACATGGCAGGCACAGGCTGAAAGGCCTGCTCCACGTGATCTTGAGCAGAACCATCCAACCCCACCTTGGAGTGGCTCTTAGATCAGGGGCTTGAGTGACTGGTTCAGCTGTCCGTCTCTGAGCCTCGGCGGAGGCTGGGGGTGGGAGGGGGGGTATGGCCTCGGTTTGGTTTCCCCTCCACCGCAGAGGGAAGACGTGGAAGGGAGTGTCCAGAGCAGACACATTGGGCTGGGAGGCACCTGGACAGACGCCCACAGAATCTGTCAGCATCTGCTTCTGAGTCATTTTCTTGCTTCAATTTATTCCCTTAGGCTAAGGTCACATGAGTGCAATTAGGGTCAAAGTATGTGACGACTTGTGACTTCATTCCAGTGGCTCACAACTATTTTTATTGGGGTCTGTGGTGTGCACTGTCGGTGCCAATTCAGGGAAACCAGACGCCGAAATACAGAGCTGAGCCTCTCTTCCATTCCCTCCTGGCGAAGACAGGATGGCAGGAGGCCGCTCAGGGGGCTGGGGCAAGGCCAGCTCTGTGGACGTGGACTGCATCTCAGGGCCTGAGGCCCCGTGGGGTCTGGCTCCAGGAGAAGGGCCCAGGCAAGGAGCGACAGAATGTGTGCACAAGCCTGGGAGAAAACGAGAGTTCCTGGAAGAAACAATAATACATTTGTATTGAAGGGCTTATTCCTTAAGCCTTGCTCTAAAGTTTTCAGCATTTGGAAATAGAATTGTTTACTCTTCCTGTGCTCACCAGTTGTGACAGAGTTCCACACGGGGCACAAGGAACAGGGGGCAGAAAAGCTCTCTCATGCCCACTGGAGGCTGGCGCCTTTGTGGAGTCAGGGGTTAGAAGGACCAGGCCTTAATGAGGACCCGTCCCTTCCGGAGGGCGCTGACTTCTGGGTGCACACAGAGGAATAAACGACCCATAGCGGGGGGCGCAGCCTGAGCCAGGACCTGGCAGGAGGCCAGCGCTTTCCTCTCCCTCCTCTGTGCACTGACTGCCGTCCGTGCCCTTCCAGGCTGTGGCGCCTCATCGTCTCACTGCGCATATGGGCTTCCAGACACGCGCACCACCGGGACCAGCGTCCGGACGCTTTCCTGGAGCGTTTCCGCGGTGCTGAGCTCAAGGAGGTGTCCAGCCGAGAAAGCAATGCCCGGAGCCAGGGCGGCCAGGAGCCAGCAGACAGCGAGAGAAGGTAAGGAGCCAACGGGAGGTGAGCCACCTGCGCCAGGCAGGAGGCACTGCTCACTAGGCCGGCTGGAAGCCGCTCCTGGAAGAAGGCTTTCATCTTGGGAGAGCACCAACTGTCTCTGCCCGAGTCCAAGAAGTCCTGCAGGAGAGAAACCCTTCACCCAGAGGCCCCAGCCTCCTGTGACCCCCAAGCCCATCCTATTCAGAACTCAGCGAGTGTCCCCGGGAACTGGTGCTCCCAGAAACACACGCGGGGGTGCTTGGCTCACCCATCTCTGTCCACCACAGGGCCCTCCTAGACTGCACTGTAACCCACCTTGATACGAACCCACCGGAAACCAGGAGCCTCGGGGAGAACCTCAGTGGTACCCAGTTTTATGCAAAGGGATGCATGCATTTTTCTGGGAAGAATGTCTGCAGGTTGGTGAGAATTTTCAAGGGGAACCATTCATGTTCCAGATCAGGTTAAAGACCATGGGGAGGTGGAGCGCAAGGAGGGGCCAGGGTAGGGTGGGGGGAGTGTTCACCTTTTGATAGGAGAAGGGTCTGCAGAACAAGGGTCTGGGCGCCATCTTGCCCGCCCACAGCCTTCTCCACACCCTTAGGCTAATGGGAATGAGCATTCGACTCTGTCGCCTCCCAATGTGGCCAGATGAGTGGAGGGTTGAGCTGGGACCCTATCAGGGCCGGGCTCAGCTATATCCAGAGGCCTGGTCAGTGGTGGGAAGGGTCAGAGTGGGGAGATGAATTCGATGGTGCAGGATGGTAGCTGGTCAATTAGGGAGGCTTCCTGGGGGAGGAAGACTGGACTTTTGAAGCAAAGTCCCATTGGCAAAGCAAGGTGTTCGCAGGGACAGGTCTTGGTGCAGTGGGTCTGGGCTGTGGGACCACCAGCACAGAGGTGTGAACGCGCCCTTGGAGCTAAGCTTTCCCTCCTTCCCAGTCTCACAGGGAGCTGTTGCTTTCTGGGTTTTCAGATGCGTGGAATGGATCCTCAGAGAACCCTGTGTGAGGAGAGGGAGACCTGGGCAGGGCAAGCAGGCGCCCAAATGGCATTTGGCTGGATGGTCAGCCTTGTGGAAGCGGGGCCCCGCGGGTCAGGCTGGCGTGCTCCGGGCCACTGGCTTTGGTCTCCAGGTCTCCTAAGGGGTCGGCAGTGACCACGAACCAGCAAGCCACCCTCCAGCTCTGTGAGGCCAAGCTGGTTTCCTGCAGCAGCCGTGCCCCAAATGTGCCTGGCTGTGGACAACTTGGAGAGCATACCTTTGACCATGAAGTACTGTGCTATCCAGCTTTAAATAATGTTTGCTTGGGTGCAAACCAGCTCCACCTTCTACCTGGGTTCTCACGTAGATCGGGGGGGCGGGGGGGGCAGGACCGAAGGAGTTAAGATGGATGTGAGGGCGGGGGTGGGAGCGGAGAGACTGAAAGTTGGACAGCTCTGCCCACGGTCTGTGTCCACCCTGCTAATTGGAAGTGACAGCTGTGCCGAATCTTGGAGCAGCTGCCCTTTGAGAGCCAGGCCTGTGCGGACAAGGGCAGCAAGTTGTCACTGCTGCTGCGGAGTCCACTCTGGCCTGCCAGGCACTTGACGGCCTTACCCGAGAGCGCCGAGGGCAGGGGCCGCGTCGGGTCCATGGCTGCGCCCTTCATGCCGCTTTCACACGGTTAAGCTGCGTGAAATAGAGTCGAATCTGAGGCAGATGCTGGGTGGAGTCAATGGTTGATCACATTTGTCCAGAAGCGTCCAGTTAGCCAAGCGGTCACCCGCTCTTCCCCCAAGGCTTCCATCACAGCGAACTAGTCACAACACATTTGGTCCCTGACACCCTCCGTTCCTCAAGCTGCGTGCAAGGCCCGGGAGGTGGGATAGGAGTAGCACCGGGACGGTCCCCGTGGGGAGCCGCGTGCCGGTTCCCACGTTCACTCCCTCGGCCTCCTGCAGTGGCTGGGCCCGGCCAGAAGCAACGCCAACACCTGCAGCAGCTCAGAGGCGTGAGCATCTTCTGCTCCCCGCTGAGCCCTCGCCTTTCTTCCTCCGAGATGCCCAGTTTGCCTCCCCCCTTAAGTGTTCCTGCTCCCCACCCTCAGAACACTGCCACACCGCTCTAGAAGCCTGTTCCTTCCACTGGAACGCCATCCGTGGACCATCGGAAGGGCCTGGTCATGTCTTGGGGCGGGTCATTTGGTCTCTCTGTCTCAGTTTCTTGTCTATAGAACAAGGGGGTTGGATGGGATCGCCGTTTCAAGCTTAACGAGCCTCTGTTGCTGTGTATTTGAGGGCAAAGCCAGGCTCCTTGTGGAGCAGCGGGTAATTCTTCTCAGAACCCCCCCCCCACCCCACCCCTTCCTCCTGGGTGCCAGTGAGACGCTCTCATTCAGGCCGATACAGGCCAATTTGGAGGGTGGAATCAGGGCAGTGGAAAGAGGAAAATTGTATTTATTTAGTTATTTGGTTAATTCTCATCCGAGGATATTTTTCCATTGATTTGTAGAGAGAGTATTAGGGAAGGGGAGAGACACAGACAGAGAAATATTGATTGGTTGCCTCCTGCATGCGCCCCGACCAGGGCCAGGATTGAACCCGCAACCCAGGCATGTGCCCTTGACCGGGATCAAACCTGGGACCCTTTAGTCCCACCGACCGACGCTCTATCCACTGAGCCAAACCAGCTAGGGAAGAGGAAATTTAAATTCGTCCAGAGCATCGCCTCTAGAAACGGTGACCCACTGCCATTCCTTTCTGTCAACAGATGCCGAGCCGGCAGATAGCTATGATGTGTGATCATGGCAGATGCCACTCAAGAGCCCAAGGAGGGCGTGTGCCTGTGTGACCATACATGTGTTAGACGTGTGCACCATTCTCCTGCCTTCTTCATGGAATGCCATGGGAATAGGCAGAGGAGCATCTCAGTTGGAGCGTAGGGAAAAGCCATCATATCAGGGAGAAATGCCAAGTCCTTGACTTCCAGTTGAAGGAGAAATGGGCCAAGGCCTTTGTTCCTTGGGTAGAACATCGGGTAGAACATCTTTCCATTTTCCTCCCTGAAACTTAGTTGCATTTTGCTTGCATAAATTTGGACATCAAATCCAGAAACCCAGAACAATGAAATTATTTCAACTACAAAACAATAGCTATTGGAATATGTGCTTGACTTAAAGCACCTGATATTAACATCTTTGAAACCTGGGTTGCGTCTGGCAGTCAGGGAAAGGCTCTGGGCACTAGAAACCACAGACAGGGGCCCTGGGGGTCTCCCGGCTCCTTCGCCCTGGGCTGCCACGAGGGTGAGGATGGAGGTGGAGGGTGTTGGCTGCACTGAGCTCCTATAAATCTTTTCATGGGTCCAACACTGCAGCCAAGGACCAAGGGACAGAATCGGAGACTGTGCCAAACAGGGCCACCTAGACACAGACAGAGGTACAGGAACAACTCCTGTGGACACCCATCCCCATTCTTCCACCTCTTCCGGAGTTTTCTCTTAGTCCCCTGAGTCCTGACTCTCCCTCCCTGATCAAACCATTCCAGCCCAAACCAGTATAGTTTTGCAGCTGTGTGTGGGTCTTTTGGGGGCAGTGCTGGGTGGATTTGGGGGTGCATCTGGATGGTGCTGGGTCTTTCAGAGGCCCTCAGCAGGTTGGTAGCCAGAGGAAAGGCCAAAGCCTGTAATCAGGGCCCGAAATCCTGGACAAGGAAACCTGAGCCTGGTGCAATGAGAACGCTCAGCAAGGTTTGCATGCTCAATAAGCTGGTAGGAGGCGCCCTCTGCTGGTGTCTTGGTGTTAAGACCAGTGGCAGACAGGACTTCAGGGTCATGCATAGAGGACAGAGAATGGGTGACTGTCCTTGCTCTTCTCACTTAAGAAGCTAAATAGATTTTATTCTTATTCTATGTATTCATATATGCATTGTCAGAAACTTGCAAAACACAGAAAAGCACACATGAGCATATACCCGCAGAGAAGTACATGTCATGTTAACAGGAATTCCATTATCAGAGAAAACCCTTCTTAACATGTTGGCAAAGATACCTCCCAGTTTTTCCTAGGTATAAAAATGGAATGGATATATATATATATATATATATACAATATATATATATATATTATATATCCATTATATATAATATATATTATATATCCATTATATATAATATATATAATATATAATATATATAATATATATCCAAATATATATATATAATATATATTTAATACAGATGCTGGTTAAGAGCATTTGCATCCCAATGCGAAGCTTTGTGACCTTGGGTAAGTTCCCTGACCTCTCTGTGCATCAGTTTCCTGACCTGTAAGACAGGTATTGCAGTGTTGTCTGGCTTGAAGATTTTGTGTTCATTATGTAGAGTGCTTAGCACAGTGCCTGGTACATAGTACGTCCTCAATAAATATTGACTAGTATGTTTAGCAGAATAATTTCAGACTGCAGCTGGAGCCGGGCTTGGGGTTTGGGACCTCAGGCGGCAGGTCTACCTGGGCCAGGCATGTGAGCACAGGCAGAGGATGTGTTGTCACTGGCCTGGCCCCTGCAGTCCCCATAGCGCCGGCCCTCCTGGCTGCCTGCCTTACCTCGCCTCCACGCAGCATGGCTTCTCGCCCGCCAGCCCATAGCAGCTGCCTCCAACATGCTGGAACTCACCGAAGACAACTTCTCTGACGTGGGCTCTGCGGTCCTCATGCCCTGTCCAGTTCTTCGCCCCCTGGTTTGGACACTGCGAGAGGCTTGCCCTGGAGTGTGAGGCTGCAGCTACCAGATTAAAAGGAATTGTCCATCAGCAAAGGTTGATTGTGCTGCCAACGTGTCATTAGCATGGAGTCCGTGGGTATCCGATCCTGAGGCATTTGGAGATGGGAAGAAGCGGGTGCTGGGATGGGCCCGGGACTGCTGACGGGACGCAGCCACCTGGACAGGCAGGCAGACCAGCGTCGGTTCCTCTGGGACTGAGGAAGGACTGGGGAGACTCATGAGTGATAAAGAGGCTTCTTGGTGGACTTTTTTCAGGGATTTATTCAATGAAGCTCTGAGTTTCTTTTCTTTTTTAAAAAATATGTTTTACTGATTTTTTTACAGAGAGGAGGGGAGAAGGATAGAGAGCTAGAAACATCGATGAGAGAGAAACATCGATCAGCTGCCTCCTGCACACTCCCCACTGGGGATGTGCCCACAACCAAGGTACATGCCCTTGACCAGAGTCGAACCTGGGACCCTTCAGTATGCAGGCCGACGCTCTATCCACTGGGCCAAACCAGTCAGGGCAAAGCTCTGAGTTTCTAAAAGCAGCCAACAACTTGAGGCCCTGACCGGGTGGCTCAGTTGGTTAGAGCGTTCTCCCGATCTGCAAGGCTGCAGGTTTGATCCCCCGTCAGAGCACATACAGGAATCAACCAATGAATGCATCAGTAAGTGGGGCAGCAAATGGATGTCTCTCTCTCTCTCTCTCTCTCTCTCTCTCTCTCTCTCAAAAACAACAACAACAAAAGTAACAATAATAAAATAAAAACAGCGGAAACTGGAGGGATAACTACGGATTTGCACACAACGAACGGTGTTGAGTTTCTGGTGAACAGTGTGGTGATAAGAGAGGGTATCCATGTTTTCTCCTTCACATCTGATGAACAGGGGGGTGAGGACAAGACTGGCATATGCATAACAGAAGATTTAAATTCATCCAGGAAAACATGTTTGGTGTTGCCCTCACACGACAGGAGACGACGAGGGCCCGACACAGGCCAGGACTTCCCAGGGCTGGCTCTGCTGTGGGCCCTGAAACGAACGCCAAGGGTCCCGGCTGCTGGAGAACCGGGTAAGGATGGTGCCGAGAAATCCCTGCATGATGCTGGACTCAAACTCAGCGTTAGCCGCGCACTTTCCGATTCTGCTTTGGAAAGCACAGCCAGACAGGTGTCTGTTGTTCCGTCAGCACGGCAGGAGGAGAGGGGTTTGTCACGCAGGAGTCCTTGCGTGAGGCCAAGGCCCTGGGGAGGTTCCCGCAGGACTGCTTTTATGGCAGCCTGAAGGGATGCTGGAAGTCTGAGCCCACTGCAGACAGTAGCATCGATCCCATAAAGGCAGTGGTCAGTAGAGCAACGGTTCCCCACAGAGCCAGGCCCTAATCCCTACTACCCTGCGGCTGTTTTCCCTACGTGGCAAAGGGACTTGGCAGATGTGACTGTTTAAGGGCCTGGAGACAGCAGAGATCCTGATTCTGGATGATCCGGGTGGGCCCTCTAATCACAGGCTTCCCTCGAAGTGGAGAACCTTCCGCGGCTGCAGAGAACCAGGGAGGTGGCATCTTGAAGAGAACTCAGCCCACCGTTTCTGGCTTTAGAGGTGGGAGAAGGGGACCACACCGAGGACGCAGCAGCCTCTGTAGGCTGGGGATGCCTCAGGGCACAGCCGGCAACACAACAAGGATGCCGGTCCTGCCGTGGCCGAGAATCAGATTCTGCCAACAGTCCGATGAGCAGGAACACATTCTCTCGAGTCTTCAGAAGGTCACGGCCCGTGACGCCTCGATGTTAGTCTGGGGAGACCCATGCCACACTCTGACTCAGATCTGCAAGGTCACTCCGGGTCGTGTAAGCCATGCCCTTTGGGGCAATGTGTTCTGGCAGCAATACCAAACGAATACGGCTACTACTAAACGCGTGTGCAGTCTGCTTTCTAACAGCTAAACACCAGGGCCGCTTCCCCTGCCTCGGGATATCCTTCTGCGACACGTGAGAGGCCTTGGGAATTCCACTGTCAACGGAGCTGTGTGACTAGGTCGCTTACGCTTCTGACTTTATACGGAATGTTAGTGGCTATTCTTTTGTAAGCTTGTTTGCACACAGCTTTGGTGATTTCCTTGGGAAATGCTATGTGAACTGCACCGATCTTTTCCAATGGGTGTTCAATTAGCAGACATTTATTTCCCCTCCAGTGCCTCCCTCCAGGGTGCGCAGTAGGGAATCAGAGGGGCCTGCGGATGGCTGGCGGGGACCCCGGAGGCAGGCCAGGTGCCTTCCCTCGGCCCCATGTCCTCAGCTCTTCAATGGGCCGTGATGCCTGGCTTGCAGAACCATGGCAACGATGGTCAGGTGACCCTGATGACTGCTGGTCCTTAAAAGATGGCCGTGAAGAAGAGGAAGCGGAGAGAAGCGCCTGTTGAGGAGAGAGCTGCACTCGCGGGCCTTCCCGTGGCGGGAAGAGGGGCTGCTCCCCCGCAGCCTCGGGCCTGGGACCCCGCTGCCCCCCTGCCCCCCTGCCCCCTGCCCTCCTGCCCCCAGCTTGCTCCCCACCCAGGTTTTCATTCGATGCCCAGAGAGGTTTTGAGAACCAGCAGGCCACACCCTTTCCTTCAGAACAAAGCGCTTTATAGGTGACTTTTTCACCCTAAAGTGTGGTTTTGGGATTATATCTCAGCACCTCACCATGCCTCCAGTCCCAGCTGTTTGAGACGTCCTAGGGGCTCAAATCGCACGACACTGAGCTAGTCTGCCTCACGCTTCGGGAGTAATAATAACAATAACAATAATAACAATAACAATGACGACGATGATGACGATGATGATGACGATGACGATGATGAAATCCTTTCGGCCGGTGTGCTGGGAATAGCCACTCCCTGCCCGTGGCCTCTCCTGCGTGTCACCGTGGTGGTGTGTGTGCTGTAAGAGAATTGCTTAATGTCCTGTGTCCTCCAGGGACAAGGCAAGAAAGGAGAAAGAGGAAAGGGAGGAAGGAAAGCTGCCTCAAACAAGAGGAGTAACACTGAGAGAAGTGCATCCAAACAGGGGTTCCGTGGCCACGTGGAGCCTGCCGTGCGCAGGACCAGGAACGGGGACCCAGGGTGACGCTGTCAGGCCTCAGGGGAGCCCCGGAGAGGAGGCTGGTGAGACCTGCAGACGAGGTCTTGGTCCCAGAGGTCAGGCTTATGAGTCCTGTGAGGTCTCGTCCAGCTGAGGGAGGCCTGGCCCAGCTCTGGGGCTCCCAGGGGGCCTGCTGGGGTGGAGCCTCAGGGGAGCAATTAGGGGCTGTCCCTGTGAACCTGTGCTTCCTCCCCCCCGCCCCCCCCCCCACACACACACACACAGGCATTCTATCTGCCACACAAGTGCCTCCGCACAGCCCAGGTAAGCTAAGGCCTGATCCTGGGCTCATGAAATACTACAGTCCCAAACCTCAATCCAAACCCAGTGGCAACAAGGCCTTGGAACCGTCCAGATCCTACCTGTGAGAGGTAGCCTTGCACTGCGGGTCCCAGTGAGGCAGGAAGGCCTGTCTCCTCCGGAACAGACCTGGGCCAGCACATGAGGCGTATGGGCTGGGGAGGAGACACCTCGGTAAACGCGAATCCTCCCCAAACCCTGGGAGTGAAAACAGAAAGCATCCTAAGCCATCGCTCCTCTGCGTGTGGCCCACGTGGCCCAGGTGAGGCCCAGGTGGGTGGTTTGGATGGTGAGGCAGGACCCAGGTGCTGGGAAATGAGCCTTTAGGACAAGCATGTCAAACTCAAAGGCTAACGGCCAAAATAAACGAGGCATGCAGGGGCGGGCCGCGAGTTTGACATGCTCGCTTGAGGACATCTGTGCAAGGGATGCGAGCAAGGTGGAAACCTTCCCAAGGGAACGTCCCAGGCTCCCATATTCTGCTCTGAGAGGAGCTGACGCAGAGCCCTGAGCAAGTGTGAGTGCACGTGGGCAGGCCCCGGCCTGGAGGGCTTGGGCGGCCTGGGGATCTGCATTTCCACAAAGCTCCCAGGCTCCTGCAGCAGCCCTGTGACATCATCAAGCTGTCTGCTCATTCCCTGCTTCCTGTGGACACAGAGGGTGCCACCGGGCACGTGGGGATGTCGCCGCCATGATGTGATGGACAACTTGGCTTCCTGGGGAGCTGAGCTGGGAGGGTACCTCCAGAGTCTGCCCTGCCTCCCAGCCTCTCCTCCCATGTGACCCCGAGACTGACAGGGCCTGGTCTGGAGTAGCCCTCTCTGAGGTTCCGCCCACAAGTGTCCTCGGGTTCCGGAGCTCGGGCAGGTGTCCAAGACCCTCCAGAGCTGAGGTCTCAGCACACGGCGCTGTTGGGGTGTCTATTTCCAGGGAGAAGGACGCCGTGGTGCTGGACCCCTCCAGCAACGTGTACTACCGCGGGTTGACCGTCATCGCCCTGCCTGTTTTATACAACTGGTGTTTGTTGGTGTGCAGGTAGGGGTGTGGCTGGGCCTCCCCCAAGCAGAGGGGGGGGGGGGGTGGAGGAGGGAGGGGAGCCCGCCTTCAGGCAGGACTCTGAGTGTCACTCAAGAGCCCGGCCATACAGCTGGCGCCTGTGTCTCCATGGTGAGGCGGCTCTGGAGGAGCACCGTGCGGGCTCTGAGGTGCGTGGGGACCTGTGCCAGGGCCCACAGCACCCGGGAGCCTTGATGGAGGCGTAGGAGGAAGATGAGGGCGAGCTGCGCGTGCTCTGCGGGCAGGGTGCTCTGCGGGCAGGGTGCCGGGGAGGAGCCTGCTCTCTGGCTGTGGCTGTGGGTCGGTGCAGGGGGAGCTGCGGCTCCTGTGAAGGCAGCAGGGCCTGTGGGCGCTCCTGAGCAGGCCTGCCGGGCAGGTGCGTGTCCCTGGGCCAGCGTGTGCTTCGGGACGCAGGGGCGAGCGGTGGCTCTTCTGGGGACAAGCGGAGGCGCAGGGACTTCTTTAAGGAAGCTGCAGGAGAGGGAGGCAAGAGCAGCTCCTCTCATGAGGGGCAGAGGGAGGGGGGCTCGGGGTCTCTCCCTAGGAAGATGCTGCTCCTGGGCAAGCCTGCAGGACAGAGACCTGGCTGCGGCCTCCGTGGGCCAGCAGGGGCTGCAGGAGAGGGGCAGGAGGTGTCGTTTCTCCTCCAGGGGGTAGGCGGGGTCTGGGCCTTCCGAGCCAGGTACAGGGCAAGGATGCAGGGACAAGAGGCTGCATTTCTGAGAGGACCCGAGGCTTTGGGGCATCCTGTTCAAGTCCAGAGACAAGAACGCAGGGTGAAGGGGCCCCTGGGGGTGGGAGTTCGGGCGCCTGGAGGGGATGAGCAGGTGCAGCTACTCTTCTGGGGGAAGGGACTCTGGGAAGGCCCTTAGGCATTCGGGGACAGAGCTGTTGATTTTCTGGGATACACAGGGGGGTTGGGCTTTTCTAATCAAACTTCAGGAAATGATAAGGGGTGAGCTGCTACTCTCAGAGAACAAGCAAGGGGTTGGGGGCTCTTCCCAGCAGGCCTCTGAGACAAGGATGCAGGGTGAGTTCTTGCTCTTCTGGGGATAGTAGGAGGCGCAGGGAAGGGAGGCAGGGGAGCTGTGGGCATTCCTAAGCAAGCCTGCAAGGCAGGTGAGATACACAGGGCTTTGGGGCTTCGCTGAGCACGTGGTAGGGGGCGCCGGGCAGAGGTGCTGCTCTGCGAGGGTACGCAGGGCTTTGGGGTCCCTGAGCCAGCCTGCCAGGTAAGACTGCAGGGGTGTGTCTTGCTCTCCTGGTGGTGTGGGAACCACCTGCCCAGGCCGCACGGCAGGTGTGCAGGGCCCCAGGGCTCCCTGAGTGTAAGGGGGGCTTTCGGGATTATCTGAGCAAGGGGTGGGCTCCCACACCTTACCCTCTGAGGGTAAGTTGGGGTGAAGCAGGGAGAACGGAGGGCCTCTCCCAGTCCACCCGGGGACAGGACAGAGGCAGGCTGCTGTTCTCTGGGGAACAGGGGTATTTTGCGGGTATTGTCTGTATGAGAAGCGGTGAACATAAAGATCGAGAAAGTAGCAAACATTTACTGGCTTGTTCAGTGGCTAATCCTCCAGGAATTCTCATGTCTTTGACCTGGGAAGGGCAGGTCCTCAGCCTGCTCCTGACCCAGCAGTGAGGCCCAGAGAAAGTGCCCGGCCTCGGAGCCCCCTGCTCAGAGCAAGCAGGGCCCACGCTTTGGGGTCAATCCCAGCTCTTCTTGGCTATGTGACCTTGAACACAAAGGTTTCTGGAAGCCTAGTCCCCTCCTCAGGGCCTGGGCGATGACGCCAGGGCGCAAGCCCTGCAGGCCGGCTGGTGCCCAGAGGCCCTGCAGACATCTCTCCCTGTCGCCCTGGCTCAGGGCCTGTTTCGACGAGCTGCAGTCCGAGCACCTGGTGCTGTGGCTGGTCCTGGACTACTCGGCGGACGTCCTCTACGGCCTGGACGTGCTGGTGCGCGCCCGGACAGGTGAGTGCCCAGCCGGGACGTCCTGGGCCCGGCCACCGGCCCCACAGCAGGAGGGCCCAGGGGATCACAGCCATGTTCAGGGAGATCCAGGATGGTAGGGTAGACTTTACCTACCCCTGACCACTAGAGCCAAGCAGGCCGGGGGAGCCTGCAGCAGTGACGGGGTGGTGCCGTCTCAAGCTTCCGCTGCTCCTGGGACAGAGCCCCGAGCAGGGGTCATGACCCCTGGGTTCTGGTCTCTCTTGTCCCAATGAGCTGTGTGACCCTGTGCAAGTCGAACTGTCTTTCTGGGGCACATGGGTCTTTCCATTGGTGTTGGAAGTAAGGAAGCCACATCACCATCTCGAAGCCCAGCCCAGCCCTGCGCGGCTGGAGGCAGGAGGCAGAGCGCGGTCAGTCTTCGCTGGGACGGCCGGAGGCCCGGGACCTGCTGCTCCGTGGCTGTCAGAGGAGCACTCGACGTGGAGAACTGACTCCGGAACAGGCCTTCCTCCAGGTGCCTCTGGCTGCAAGTGGGGGCTACAGCCCCAGCCACGGCCCCCAGCCCTGCATCTCTGGGGCACCTTTTTCTAATTTGCACAAAGACATCACGTAAGCTCATGGAGGCCCTGCTTGTGACTTCCAAGATTTTTTAGCTAAAAACTGTGCCATAGTTGTCGATATAAACATGCCGGATCGCAGCAACAAGCCGTGCAGCTCGGCAGTGTGCAGCGCGATGCAGCCCCTCCTTTCCCCAGAGAACTGCTGCGCTGGAGACCGCAGGCAGGACTCTCCATCGGCCGACTTAGAAGCTGAGGCCAGAGACGCTGAGTGACTGGCCCAAAGTCCACGGTCACTCCCGCTCCCCAGCAGCCCTCCTGCTTCCATCCACATCCGTGCCCGGCGACGGCGACGTAACAGAAGTCCTCATGCACACAGCCCGGGGCTTGCACGGTGACTGAGCCAGTCCTGGTGGTCGGCCACTCCTCAGTCACGTGAACCTAGCAAGACACAAGAGCTCCTGGCGTGGCCCAACTCCTGGGGCCGGCTGTCCCTGTTTCAACCAGGTCAGCAGCACAGGCCCTCTGACTCAGGTGTGGCCCCCGCTCCTTGTGCCTTGGCGCCCTGGCAACCTCAGACTCAGCAGGAATCCAGGGGTGAGGGGCAGGTGGGCAAGAAACCAAATGGCTGTGGATTCTATTCCAAAGGGGAGGAAAAAAAAACTCTTCAAAATCGAAAGAAGGTGTAATGAGGAAGTATCGAGGAGTCTTGAGGCTCAAGGAGTGTCATGTAATGCCAGTGGTCGGCAAACTGCGGCTCGTGAGCCACATGCGGCTCTTTGGCCCCTTGAGTGTGGCTCTTCCACAAAATACCACGTGCAGGCGCGCACGTACAGTGCAATTTGAAACTTCGTGGCCCATGCGCAGAAGTCGGTATTTTGTGGAAGAGCCACACTCAAGGGGCCAAAGAGCCGCATGTGGCTCGCGAGCCGCAGTTTGCTGACCACTGGTTTAGGCCAAGCATGTCAAACTCAAAGGCTAACCTGGGCCAAATAAACAAGGTTGAAGTTTATGTGGGTCGCAAAAAAGCAAAAGCTTCAATTTCATAGAAACGTAGGTTTATTTCGATAGAGACATGCTGAATACAAAGGGCTGAAATAAATGAGTAATCTTCTTCTTATAATAATAAAAGCGTAATATGCTAATTAGACCAGGCATCCTTCCGGACGACCTTCCAGACGAAGCTGGGGCTGTGAGAGAAGCCTGGGTCCCTGGTGCCAGAGGGAAGGAAGCCAGTGCCGGCAGCCAAGGGAAGGAAGGCCCTACTCTTGCACGAATTTCGTGCATCCGAAATTCATTAACATAAAATAATAGAAGATTTTAATAAAAATTAATATTTTTTCTTGAACATTAACTTACCAGACAGTGAATAACTGCACAAATTAATAAGCGTAATGCAAATAAACCTATTTTTCTTGTTCTCCGGAAGGGAAATATTTCCTGTTGCGCACACCAAACAAGTCAGTCCAAGACTAATGACGTGGCCATCGGCTGCTAGAATATTCACTGCTAGGATTAGTGGGGAGAAATGGTGCGCCTGCGCATAAGGTGCATAAGGGAAATGAATGCAACACGATTATAGTAATCAGTCATTAGTGAACGTTGTAGTTCGTTATTAATAATTATGTATAACAGGATATTGTAAAAATTAAGTTACAAAATTTTTATTAAACGTTTCTTACATATTGTTATATTGGCTGGGCCACAAAAATATTCGTTGTGGGCCGCGAGTTTGACATGCTTGGACTAGGTTCTGAATAAACACGAGTTAACCGAAGAATGAAGTAAAGAACGGGGGTAGGAAGCAGGACGTCCCTGACTCCCAGGGTCCAGCCCGTCTGACTTTCGGGGGTGAGCTCCAGGTTCCATGCTTCCCTTGGATGATGCCGTGTGCAGCCAGCAAGGAGCACACTGCCTCCCTGGACAGTGTCTCCCACAGGCAGCTCATGCCCATTGGTGACTGAGGAAGCATGGCCATGACCTGTGCTTTTAACATTTTTATTAGTGTTTTCAAACATGCCCCCAGTCAGAGCGAGCAGTATTATGGATCCTCAGGCGCCCTCACCCAGCTTCAACAGTCATCAACATTTTGCTAATCTTGTTCCTACCCCCACCCCCCACCCCTTTCGTGGCTGGACTATTTTAAAGCAAATCTCAGACAGTAACCCTTTTACCATGTATCTCTAATTTTCAAGGACTCGTTAAAAAATATAACTTCCATTTATGTTTCAAAATTTAATAATCATTTCTTTCTATCTCTAATGCCCAATCCACACTCAAATGGACCCAACTGATCTATATTTTTAAATGAATAAAATGGATTAGGACATCCTAGACTGGTAAATATCAGTACCTTTCCTGTAGGTGCGGTAAGTGTGGGTTTTTTTTTAAAATATATATTTTATTGATTTTTTACAGAGAGGAAGGGAGAGGCATAGAGAGTTAGAAACATCGATGAGAGAGAAACATCGATCAGCTGCCTCCTGCACACTCCCTACTGGGGATGTGCTCACAACCAAGGTACATGCCCGTGACCGGAATCGAACCTGGGACCCTTGAGTCCGCAGGCCAATGCTCTATCCATTGAGCCAAACCGGTTAGGGCGGTAAGTGTGGTTTTGAAGTGGTTTCTAATATTAGTGTACCACCATGTCCTCTGTAGTCACGAGGTGAAGTATCTTTCTGTGGGCCCTGGTCAAAAAACACAGCCTCTTTGGTGCCCACGTGACCTCCACCTCCCTCTTTAGGCTTCCTCGAGCAAGGCTTGATGGTCAGGGATGCCAAGAGGCTGTGGCGGCATTACACAGAGACCTTGCAGTTCAAGCTGGACGTGTTGTCCCTCGTCCCCACAGACCTGGCTTATTTCAAGCTGGGCATCAACTACCCGGAGCTGAGGTTCAACCGCCTGCTGAAGTTTGCCCGGCTCTTTGAGTTCTTTGACCGCACAGAGACGAGGACCAGCTACCCCAATGTCTTCAGGATCGGGAACCTGGTTTTGTACATCCTCGTCATCATCCACTGGAACGCCTGCATCTACTTCGCCATTTCCAAGTTCATTGGTTTCGGGACAGACTCTTGGGTCTACCCCAACATCTCAAACCCGGAGTACGGGCGCCTCTCCAGGAAGTACATCTACAGTCTCTACTGGTCCACCTTGACCCTCACCACCATCGGTGAGACGCCACCCCCTGTGAAAGACGAGGAGTACCTCTTTGTCGTCGTAGACTTCCTGGTGGGCGTCCTGATTTTTGCCACCATCGTGGGCAACGTGGGCTCCATGATCTCAAACATGAACGCCTCCCGGACTGAGTTCCAGGCCAAGATCGACTCCATCAAACAGTACATGCAGCTCCGCAAGGTGACCAAGGACTTGGAGACGCGGGTCATCCGGTGGTTCGACTACCTGTGGGCCAACCGCAAGACGGTGGACGAGAAGGAGGTGCTCAAGAGCCTCCCGGACAAGCTGAAGGCCGAGATCGCCATCAACGTGCACCTGGACACCCTGAAGAAGGTCCGCATCTTCCAGGACTGCGAGGCGGGGCTCCTGGTGGAGCTCGTGCTGAAGCTGCGGCCCGCGGTGTTCAGCCCCGGGGACTACATCTGCAAGAAGGGCGACATCGGGAGGGAGATGTACATCATCAAGGAGGGCAAGCTGGCAGTGGTGGCCGACGATGGGCTCACCCAGTTCGTGGTCCTCAGTGACGGGAGTTACTTTGGGGAGATCAGCATCTTAAACATCAAGGGGAGCAAGTCAGGGAACCGCAGGACGGCCAACATCCGCAGCATCGGCTACTCGGACCTGTTCTGCCTTTCCAAGGATGACCTGATGGAGGCGCTCACCGAATACCCTGACGCCAAGAAGGCCCTGGAGGAGAAGGGACGGCAGATCCTCATGAAGGACAACCTGATTGACGAGGACCTGGCCAAGGCCGGGGCAGACCCCCAGGACATCGAGGAGAAGGTGGAGCACCTGGAGTCCTCCCTGGACACCCTGCAGACCAGGTTCGCGCGGCTCCTGGCCGAGTACAGTGCCAGCCAGATGGCGGTGAAGCAGCGCCTCAGCCAACTGGAAAGCCAGGTACAGCTCTGTGGGCGCAGCCCCCTGCCTGAGGGGGTCGCACCGGAACCAGAGACCAAGCAGCCGTGAAGGCAGGGAGTCTGTCTCCTGCCCGGGGAGTCAGCTGTCCCTGCGATAAGATATAGCCCAAGGCAAGGGACTTGGCAGGAGCATTCCAGCTCCCCCTGCCCTTTGCAAGCAGAGAGCCTCAGCTTCCTCATCTGGGAAATGGGACTTGTTCTGTCCGCCACGGTCAGGTGGCAGGTTCTTACGAGGTCCACAGGGAACCCTGCGAGGGGCGGGACCTTGTGGAGTGCAGGTGTCCCCAGGCCAAGCATATGAAATCGTGGACACTGAACTCTTATTTTTTCACCCCTGAGGAATTCTTAGACGTCTGACCTTCCCTTTGTTATTCATTATACACCCACCCCCGCCCCCTCTGGCACCTGCTTCCACCCCAGCCTGGAAGGGAGATGTGTCTGAGGCAGATTTCTGAACCTGGTACCTCCTCAGGGGCTCGTTGTGACCCTAGGAGCCCAGGCCTTTGGGGGAGCTGTGCCAAGCTCAGGACGAGGCAAGGTCACCCCACCTGAGGTCACTTCAAGGCGGGGACGCAGATCCAGACGCCCTGCCATCCAGCCCCCACGAAACCGAATCTGTTTCACTGGAAAAAGAAAAGAAAAGAGCGTCTCAGCTCGGGAAGGAGCCCTCTCCCTCTAACTTGCCAAGGGATTAGAGGCGGCCTCTCGCCCTGGTGTGGGGGCTCTGGGGATGGGTTCCCAGCCAAACACAGCTGACAACTGGGACTCCGACAAGATGAGATCCTTAGGCCACATCTTTGCAAACTGCCCCTTCGTCCCAGGAACCCTCGCCCTCCCTCTGGAATTACATCCTGAGGCAAAGCTCTTAGCTGGCCAAGAGCACAGAGTGCAGAAGTAACTCTTCAACAAACCCAGCCCGTGGAATTCCATTACCATTTTATAAGATATTTAGGCATTGGGTTCTATGATTGTGAATTACAACCATAATGGTCCATCCTTTGCTTAAATACCCACTGGAAATTACCCCAAGAGAACTCCTCCTCCTGATGCAGGCAAGCTTTTCCTTCTCCTCTCTTCAGTCTCTCTCTCTCTCTCCCTCTTCTTTCCTCCCTCTCTCTCTCTCTCTGCCTCTTCTTTCCTCCTTCCCTCCCTCCCTTTCCTCCTTCTTCCTCCCTCCCTTCCTCCCTCCCTCCCTCCCTTCCTTCCTTCCTTCCTTCCTTCCTTCCTTCCTTCCTTCCTTCCTTCCTTCCTTCCTTCCCTTCTCTTCCTCCTTTTCCTGTTCCTCCTCTTTTCTCCCTCTTCTTCTCAGAAAAAATGCCCCATTTTGCTTTGGCAACTTTTGATGTTTTTGTGGTCTGATATTATAATCCATATGCCACATAACTGGGCCCTAATGTAGTTCATACAAAAGGTGCTGCATTTTTTAGCATGTATTTTGATGGGTCTCTTCTGGTTTTTATTATGAATCATTTAACCATTTTAAATTTAAAAAATAAAAGTAGACGGTTTATTAAAGGAAGTTAGGATGCAAGGAAATATCATCAGCAAAATGCAACTAGCAATGTATTCTCAAAACGTATATATTTTAAAAGCCTTAACTATTAATTATGCCTCCATTCATATCTGCACAGGGAAAATAAAGACAGATTAAAAAATACTGAGTGATTCCTGCTTCATATTTTTTTTGTATTTTGTCATAAAGGAAGATGCAGCTGAGGTGTGTTTCTAGGCCATGGCCTGGCTACCCCGGAAAGAACAGGTGCAGGTGAGCAGGGGACAGCACCTGCCCGTGAGGGCCACACACAGGCAGGAGCAGGTAAGAAAATGCTACCAGAGCGGCAGCGTGTGTCAGTGCAGAAGCCAAAGCACTCAGGCAGATACGAAGTGTATACCGGGAGGGACGCTAAATTTGCAGGCATCTTTGTCCAGGGCCGCCCCGGGGTGTTCGGCCGTTTGGGAAGGCGTGGCCAGGCAGGAAGCTGGGGGAGCCTGGGAAGCACGCCCAGCTTTCCCACTGCTTCTACCCAAGGAGTCTGGGCAGCAAGTTAGAAAGTGGGAAGTCAGGCCCGCTCTTGTTCAAGTCATAACCTGGCCACTCGGGCCAGTTATTTTATCTTAGGCCTCATCTCTCTCACCTGAAAAAGTGGAAGGTTACCGCCCAGGTCCCAGAGTTGTTGTGAATAAACACGTTATTTTCCTGGAGGAATAAATGGATACAATTTCAGCGAACTAGCCTCCACCTGCCAGGATGGTGGGAAGCTGAGTTTTGGGTTGTTTTCAGGGCGCCTATTCACTGACTTGGAACCTGCGGAAGGATTTGTGGTCTCCCAGCCACGGTGGCAGCCACTGGAGGCCACCATCAGAACCCAGGCTGGAAGACGGCTTCTCATGGAAGTGTGTGTGTGTGTGTGTGTGTGTGTGTGTGTGCGCGCGTGCACATGTGTCTCAGGACAGAGAGGCCCTGGGACAGGAAAGGGAGGAAGTGGATATGGACTGAGGCAGGGTCCCCGGCGGAACCCTGGGGAGGTAAGAGGTGGTGGGACTCAGGTGGGGCCTAGAGCTCTGGTTTTGAGGAACCCAGCCTGGCAAAGAGTCCAATGCCTCCAGCCTGGAAAGGCCCAAGGCTGTTGGCTCTCAAGGAACCAGGCGCAGTTGGACAAAGGGCATCTTGGCAGGAACCAGTATGAAGAATGTCTGGAAATATTTGTAACTCGAGCGAGTCATCAAGCAAGATGCCTGTTCCACCCCTGCTGAAGCATCAGCCCTCGGAGATCTGCTGCTCCCGCCCTCAAAACAGGGCCAGGGACCTAGTCCAGCTTTTCAGGCCACCTCTGTCCATCTCAGACCCTTCTGCCACTATTTTATCACACGGAAGCCAAGGCAGCTTTCTTCTTTGGTCTCGTGACCATTAGTAATACCCCGAGGGAGGGATGCAAACTGTGATGAACAAAATCTACACTAATAAAAGAGAAACATGGTAATTGGCGTACGACCGCTACCCTTTTCATTGGCTAATCAGTGAGTATATGCAAATTAACTGTCAGCCAAGATGGCGGCCAGCCAGGCCAGGATCAGCGGAGCCAAGCGGCCTCCCGCCCCGGGATCAGCGGAGCTGAGAGGCCTCCTGGCTGCCTGGATCAGCGGAGCCGAGCGGCCTCCCGCCCCCGGGATCAGTGGAGCCGAGAGGCCTCCCGGCCCCGGGATCAACAGAGCTGAGAGGCCTCCTGGCCCCGGGATCAGCGGAGCCAAGAGGCCTCCCGGCCCCGGGATCAACAGAGCTGAGAGGCCTCCTGGCCCCGGGATCAGCGGAGCCGAGAGGCCTCCCACCCCGGGATCAGCAGAGCCTGATGGAAGCCCTGTGTGTTTATGCACCCTGGGGGTGCAGAGGTCCTGTCCTAGGCAGAGGCCTATGGCGAAAATTTCGACTCTGAGAAGCAGCCTACGGGCTGGAAGGCGGCTCCTCTGACCTCAGTGCTGGAGAAGACCATTAAGCAGAAAACTAAAGAAACCGATTTTACATCATTTCCCAGGTGGAGAACAGTTGGCATGTAAGCCCCTGACAAGTGCCCAGCCTCTCCTCTGTCAGTCTATCTCACTCTTAGGTACCATGTTCTTTGTTCTGTCTTAACTGCAACTCATTTTTAAACTAGATTGCTTTTAAAAGAAGACTAAATAAAGTTTCCCTTAAGTTATTTAGGTGGTGCTGGGGCTGCTAGGGCTGCTGGGGGCCTGATAGAAGACACAAACACGCAATGGGGGGCCTGTACCCAGCAGCCCCAAGGCCCGCCACCTTGGTGCTGGGGCTGCTGGGGGTATCAGAGACACAAACCAGCAGGCCCGGCACCCAGCAGACCCAAGGCCTTCGTGGCAGAACTAAGGAGCAGCAAGCCAAGCGGTAGGAAGCAGCCAGCAGGTGGGCAGTAACAAGGGAGGGGTCCCTGACTGCAAGAGGGCACATGCTGGGCTAAGGGACCCCCCACCCATCCCCAGTGCACGAATTTCGTGCACCGGGCCTCTAGTCCTATATAATAAAAGCCTAATATGCTAAGTGTCCAGTTGACCTGTTGGTCGTTCAACCAATCAAAGCATAATATGCTAATGAAATGCTAAGGCTGCTCAACCACTTGCTATGATGTGCACTGACCACCAGGGGCAGACGCTCTGACTGGTAGGTTAGCTTGCTGCTGGGGTCAGGCTGATAGGGACTGAGCAAGATGGACCAGACACGCCCTGGAGCCCTCCCTTGGTCCCTCCCTGGCTTGCCAACCTCCTGTGTCTCTCCCAGGCCTCAATGGTGCACCAGTGGGGTCCCTTGGCCTGGCCTGTGCCCTCTTGCAATCCAGGACCCCTCAGAGGGCGTCAGAGAGCCGGTTTTGGCCCAATCCTGCAGGCCAGGCCGAGAGACCCCACTGGTGCATGAATTTGTGCGCTGGGCCTCCAGTAGAGAATGAAAGTGCTTCCCTGAAGCACAGGGTGAGAGTTTGTCCAGCAAAGATGAAGATGCCATCCCTGTCACCTAGCAACACTTCTTCTGGCTCCATGTCATAGGAAAGCTCTCACCTGTGTGTGCCCAGAGACGGGTACAAATGTTTATGATTACAGCATTCTTTTTAATAGAAAAAAGGGAATAACCTAAATGTCAGAATCTAAGAACAAATTAAGATAAATATATAATATGTCAGGCATTTCCCCAAGTAGAATTTAATAGAGGGAATGAATCATATGGGCGTTGGAGGGTGAAGGGGCAGGGACGGAGCTCTGAGGTTATCTGAGAGAGCACCTGCGGGAGCAGCTGGGGAGCCAGGGGAAGGGTGCTCGGAGGGCAGTTCCTGGGAGCTGGACCTCGGACTTTGAGGAAGGGCTCCTGCTGGCTGCTACTGGTAATTTAGGAACTCAGAGGAGTTTGGCAAAGATGGAACTTTGGACATTATCTGAAGAGGGTGAGATTGGTCCTGGGAGTCCCCCCAAAAAAGTCCCTAAAGAAGTCTGGAACCAAATGCCCCTGCCATGATCTTCCATCACTGCTAGGGCTACCGAACCAGGACAGCA